AAAAATTAAATTAATTTTATTTTATGGTCATTGGTGTCTTATCTGCATGTATCTCCGTGTGAAGGTGTTGGATCTCCCGGAACTTACAGACAGTTGTGAGCTGCCATGTCGGTGCTGGGACTTGAACCTGGGTGCTCTGGAAGAGCAGCCAGTGCTTTTAACCACTGAGCTGTCTCTCCAGCCCCTACATATTTTTTGAAGAAATAAAAAAATTAAGATTTATTTATTTTGTGTGTGTGTGTGCGTGTGTGTGTGTGTGTGTGTGTGTGTGTGTGTGTGCGCGTGCACGCGCGCTCGCGCAGACATGCACATGCACACATTCAATGCTTCTGGAGGCCAGGAGAGGGTGTTGGGTCTCCCTAGAACTGGAATGACCAATGGTTACGAGCTGCCTGATGTTGGGAAGTGAACCTGGGTCCTCTGCAAGAGCAGCAAGGGCTCTTAACCACTGAGCCATCTCTCCAGCCCCAAGGAGGAGGAGGAGAGCTTCGAGAACATGGCCGTGGAGAGAGAGATGGGGAGTCCAGCGTGACTCACCCACCATCCTTCTTCCCCTTCCAGTCCACTTGCTGTCACCAGGGGAGGAGAAGTTTATTGACACAGCTGTCTTCTACCCACACACGAGGGACTCTTCCAGCCTTGGCACGGCTGGGATTGTTAGTATGTAATCTTGCTCTGCTGGGAGGTTCAGGCAGACGGTCCTCTGCCAGTCCAATCCCAGAACCTCTCTCTCTCTGTGAGCTGCCCAGTTGCCCACTGCCTGCCCCAGGCGAGGCTTGATCTGCTCACATGCACACTCCATCTTCTTATCAGTCACCATCTCTTAAAATTGCACAGTGCATCAGGAGGAAATGTCAACACATGGGAACCTTAAAGGATATTAAAGTGAAGTCTGTGCAAATGCCACTCGGCTAAAGAAACAGCCTTTAGGGCTGGAGAGATGGCTCAGAGGTTAGCAGCTCTGGTTGCTCTTCCAGAGGACCTGAGTTCAATTCCCAGCAACCACATTACAGATGGCTCACAACCATCTGTAATGAGATCTGGCACCCTCCTCTGGTGTGCAGGTGTACATGCAGATAGAACACTGTATACATAATAAATAAATAACCCCTCCCCCCGCCCCGTGGTTATCTCCCGGACTATACCCTTCCACCCCCAACACAACTGTGCACGCTTTGAAGCTATTATACCCTTGTTTGTTTGTTTGTTTGTTTATGGATTTTAGGTTATTGTTTGGACTTGCCTTTGCATCGAAGAATGGCTACTGTAAGACTCTCTGACTTGTGTCTTTAATGCCAGGCTGTTAGGAGAATTCATCCATGTCACTGTGTGGGTCGTTACCGCCTGGCATTTCAGCCCATGCGTGTGCAGCAATGTCGTTGCGAGTTCTACAGGTAGTAGGAATTCAAGTTTTTGGTTAACATGACCACTGTGCTGGGTTTAGTCCCATGTCCTGGGGGACAAGTTTAGAGGTTTTCTAGTTACTCACATGAATTGCCTTTTTAGAGCAAAGTGTGGCCACTGCCAACTTGACTGGGTAGCAACAAGCCAATTGTCATGGTCGTAGCATCTCCTGTCTCAGCAGCCGTGAGACCACAGCTGCCCCACGTTCTTGCGTAACCTCTGCCGCTGTGTGTGGCTGCTTGTCTTCTCTGCAACTGTGGTTGCATTCCTTGCTCTTTTATCTGTCTGTCTGTCTGTCTGTCTGTCTGTGTCTCTTCCTGGTGTGTGGGAGGATTGGGGGTGGGTATGAGTGTGACGGTGAGAAGACAGTTTTCAGGAGTGGATTCTCTCCTTTGCTCATGTGGGTTCTGGGGATTGAACTCAGGTCACCAGGCTTGGTGGCAAGTGCCCTGACACCTCCTCAGCCCCCTTTGGGCCCTTCTGAGCAGTGAGTAAATGGATTCAGGCCTGGTAACAGTGTGGTTTCTTGGAGAACAGTGGTTCTCAAACACTGGCATGCTTTTAGAGGACCCGTCAGAATACAAACGGGGCCTGGGGCTCAGTGGCTAGAGTGTGGACCTGACATGTACAAAGCCCTGGTCCATGCCCAGGACTTGGTAAAATCCCAGCACTAGGGAGGTAGAGGCCAGAAGATCAGAAGTCAAAGGTTATCCTCCGCTACATAGCAAGTTGCAGGCCAACCTGGGTTCCAGCAGATCCTGGGTCTAAGTAAATAAATAAATTCCCAGGCTTTCTCACTGAGCTGTCAGAGTGGAAAACTGTGTCCATGACAGTTATGAAGGTGGGATAGCCTGGGAGGGAAGGGACAGGGCCCTCATCCAGCTGGGCATAGGAAACTAAGAAATAGATATGTTGGGTCTTTGGTGTCTGCCAGGCTGCCATACTCCTTAAAGAACACAGACGACTAGTGTCCCTCCCACCTTTAGAGGAAGCTAGGCCAGAGCATAAGCAGTATCTCAAAGCCACAGCTGTAGAGTCATTAGAGTCATAGCTGAGGACCTTTCCCTGCTGGAAGTCTCCCCTCGATGAGATTCCTTGCATGGCTGTGCAGAAGAGCAAGCAGCCTTCGGAGCCAACTACATCTGATTTTGTGGGGTTTTTTTTTTTTTTTTTTTTTTACTTAATTAAATTTTTAGGATTTCAAATTTTTATGTGTGTGCTTGTCAGCATGTATGTGTGCAGTGCCCAGAGAGGCCAAAAGAGGACGACAGATCCCCTGGGACTGGAGTTACAGAGGATTTGAGAGCCATGGTGTGGGTGCTGGGAACCAAACCCAGGTCTTCTGCCAAAGCTGTGAATGCTTTTAACTGCCAAGTCATCTCTTCAGCCCTGGCAAACTACATTTATGGCTTTGTTCGGTTTGGGTTTTTGGTTGGTTGGTTGGTTTTTGCTGTTGCTTTTTTTTTTTTTTTTTTTTTTTTTTTTTGGACATGCTCTCAGTTAAGCAGCCTTGGCTAGCCTGGAACCCACTATGTAGACCAGGCTAGCTTTGAAATCATAGAGATCTGTCTGCTTCTGTCTCCTGAGTGCTGGGTTTAAAGGTGTAGGTCACCATGTCTTCCTCCTCCTCCTCTTGCTCCTCCTCCTTCTCTTCTTCCTCCTCTGGTTCCTCCGTTATTCATGTTTCATCCTTCCCCCTCACATAGCAACAGTTCCCTGGGTGGGTGCAAGGTGACCTCTTAGCTGCTCCCAGCAGTCCCTGGAGACAGACACCAGCACTGTCTCCATTCTACCGAGGAGAGAAAACTCCAGAGAGGACTTAAGTTACGTAACTTGCCCCAGGTCACACACGTAGCGAACAGCATGGCTAGGATGTGTATCTGGCACCATCTGATCTCTTGGTCTGTGTCACAGGCCACTCACTGTCTGGGACACCTACAGTGTGTCTTCCATACATAGCTAATGAATTAAGGGAGCGAGGACTGGAGGCTCCTGGTTCTTCCCCATCCACAGAGCTCTCACTCCTGAGCAGGGAGCAGAGAATGAGTGGCAAACAGAACCTCAGCCTGGTGCATTGGCACATCAGCCATTTCCTCCCGCATAAACAGGAAGGAAGAAGAGATGGAAAGAGCCTCTTCCCCACACAGGACAGCTTCTGTCTTCAAGCTGAAGAATATATATATTTTAAGATTTATTTATTTACTGTGTATATAGTGTTCTGTCTGCATGTGTGCCTGCACACCAGAAGAGGGCAGCAGATCTCATTATAGATGGTTCTGAGTCACCATGTAGTTGCTGGGAATTGAACTCAGGATCTTTTGGAAGAGCAGACAGTGCTCTTAACCTCTGAGCCACCTCTTCAGACCCCTGTCCTCAGGGGTTATCTAGCCTCAGATTCCAGAGGAGTATCTAGGCAAGTAATTGCAAGGGACCCCCTCATTTTAATCACCAAAGAAAGGCAAAGGTTAGACGCACGGCATTTGTGCTACTGTTTATTGGCCAGCTGGACCCACAGAACACACAATAAACTACTGTTTATTGGCTTGAGACAGCCAAGCCCCTCCCCTCTCCCTGTATGTGGAAAGGTTCAACTGTCTCACTGAGTCCTGCCTTCGAGGAGCCTGGGGTGGGGTTGCCTGGGGTGGGGTTGCCTGGGCCTCTACTGCAGGGTGGGAGTTTAGGCAGAAAGCACAGGGCTAAGTCAGCCAGTGGCCTCTTCTCTCACACAGTTCCCAGGCCAGCTGACCCTCCTCCTCAAGATGGCGGGACTCTCAGGATCAGTCTCATGTCTTAGGAAAGACACTCCAGTCTTCCCAAGCTTCAACAGCCATCCAGTCATATCACATCCAAGAGGGTTTGGACAACCAGATACCCAGGCCTCAGATGATGGGGAGCTTGGAAGGCTAAGAGATAGCTGCCATTCCAAAAGCATGTACAGGCACCCACTGTGTGGCAGCTCACAGAGGCACCTACTGTGTGATAGCTCACAGAAGCACCCACTGTGTGGCAGCTCAGGCTGGGTGGGGCAGAGCTCCAGTCCTTGCCAGGAGCTTATATGGGGAATGGTGGTCACACTTTGACCTGAATGGACCCCGGGGTGTTTCCTGGGAGGTGGGATGGGTAGACTCTCTCTTGTCCATGTGGAACACAATGACTTTCCAACCAAAAGCTGTAATTGGCCAAAACAGAACCCCCAGACTTTCCGCCACAGGAAGTACAGGTCAAGGCGCTGACGAGATAATGTAGCAATGCTTCTAGACTCCTGAGTGGATTTACCCACAGACAGAAGCATTTTGGACTGTGTGGGGATGCTATTTTGGGGTGTCCCCACCATTAACATTCATCCACATGAGAGACCTTTAGACACGAGGCCCTTCCTTGAGGGGCATCAAGAGGATTCATGTCTGGGAACAAGACAGGCTGCAGAAGAATTCGGGCACCTCGAGAGAGGCTTCTGAGGAGCATGGGTCACCCTGGGCACTCAGTCTAGAGACTGGCAATCTCTTAGTGTTAGTTGCTCTGGGGTCTGTCTCAGTCTCCATCTGCCACTGGGCCCACGTCCCATCCCAGGGGAAGGGTGGGGGATGGGTGGTGGCTCAGGGTGCCATGTGCCACCACTTGAAGGCGAAGGGCTCCCGGCGCACGTTGGTGCCACAGTGAACCTCCCCGTGCAGCATGTGGTAGGGTGTGAAGTCATCGATGAAGGTGCAGTGCAGGCCCAGCGGCTCCAGCAGGGAGCGCACCTTCTCCTCCAGGCAGCAGCGGCCATTGACGATGGGCCCGAAGGGCTTGGGGATGCCCAGGTGCTTGCCCAGCACCAGCATGTTCACCTGCGGGAAAGCAGGGACCCAGGTCAGAATCAGGACGGCAACATCACCTTCCCACCCTGGAGGCCCCAGGACAGTCCGGGCTTGTCTCCAGGCAGCCTGGAACATCTCTGCTTGCTGGCTGGAGAGCAGCAGGGGATCAGACTCCTGCCGACCGCATCTGCCCAGCCCAGCCCTGCGACTTCCACAGCCACCGTGCTCCTCACTGGTGGCCTGTTGGTGGCTGCCGTGCTTGTGCAACCAAACCCTAACCTTCTAGGCTATCTCTGATTGGACCAAGTTGAACAGCTGGCCAGGACGAATTGATCAGATTCTGTCTCCCAGGAAGTTAGAGTTGACTTGGGAGGACTTTCAGTTTTTGTCTATACAGGACCCGCCTCTCATGCCTGTGTTCATTGTGGTCATTTAAATGAGCATGGGCTCCATAGGCTCACATATATGAATGCTTGGTCCCCGGCTGGTAGAACTGTTTGGGAAGGGTTAGGAGGCGTGGCCTTGTTGGAGAAGGTGTGTCACTGGGGGTGGGCTGTGAGGTTTCAAAAGGCCCACACGATTAACTCTATCCGCCTCACGCTTGCGGTTCAGATGTAAACACTCAGCTACTGCTCCGGGACATGCCTGCCTGCCTGCCACCATGCTCCTTGTCACGGAGGCCATGGACCCACCCTCGAAAACTGTAAGCCCCCATTGAATGTTTTCTTCTAGATCCTGCCTTGGTCAGGGTGCTTTGTCACAGCAGCAGGAGAGTAACCAAGAACAGCAAAGGAGAGACAGAGGTGGGGGAGGGGAAACAAGCCGAGGAAATGGTGTGGACACAGAAAAGGGAGAGCTCCAGGCCATGCTAAAGGCTTGCCACAGCTGTCCCCACCCTCAGATGTCACAGTGGCCTTGTGTCAAAGCTGCAGCTGGCCGAGCCAGCTTGGGTGGGCCTCTGTTTCTGGCCAACACAAGAACCTCAGCCCTTGCACAAACTTCCGGGAGCACAGCACATTAATTACAAAGCTGCCCCAAGTGTGCAGGAAGGAAGGGAAGCAGAGAAAGGCTTTGCAAGCAAGGGCAAAAAGCCAGAGAGGGAAGGAAAGGAGGGCTGGGTCAGGGTTAGGATACAGTGGATACGGGCCCTGCGGATGGTGAGCAGAGAGGCCAGGTGGTGACCAGGCAGCAATGGTAACCCACCCCCAGCAGTATGTTAGAAGGCAGCCATGACCCTCCCTGTCAGTCAGGACTCTTGAGGGGAGCTCCAAGTGTTGGGGTGTCTGATATGCACCCTTAAGGTTTACAGACAGCAGAGAGAAAGCTGGGACACATCCTCAGAGTCAGGAGGAGATGGTCCCCTCACTGGAGAACAGGGACCACTCCCAGCCATCTCTGTTCCCCACGGGACACATGCTTGTGTGTGTTGTGGGCAGCAGAGAGCTGGGAGGACCAAACCAGGGCAGAACCCCTTCAGTTCCTGGGTGAGGTCACGTGATCTGCACACATGATCCCGTGCAACCTTTTTTCATGCCCTCAGATGTCCCTTCCCCCATGGGTGGCCACAGGAAGGCATGGCATCAGCCTGCACAGCCTGGGACCCTGATCCTCCCCACCACCATCTCTGGTCACCGCAATTCCACACGCGAAGGCAGTCAAATGCCCTCCCTCTGAAGTGAGACCCAACAGCCTCGTCTGAGAAAGCCCAGGTGCTGGGTGAGGACCTCACCAAGTCGGGGAAGAACGCCACGGCCTTCCTCCTCTCCGCCTTGAAGAGTTGCGGGATGTCGATGATGTCACAGTCGGCCAGACCCAGCTCCCGCTTCAGCACCTCACGGTTCCAGTCAATGCAGCTCTGCAGGTAGGCCGGGGACCACACTGGAGAGACCTCAGCAGCGTGGCTGAGGCAGGTGCTCAAGTGCCCACCACCAACTCTACAAACCCCACCTGCCTAGATCCCACCCTCCATGTCCTGTCTCACTAGCTAACCCTGAGCCAACACTGAGAACATGCTATCCGAAACCCTGACTTAGTGACTGCATTCCACGTGTGGTGGCTTAAGATATGTTATCAGTAAGTGCGTGTATGTGCATGTGTGCACAATACCCACGGAGGCCAGCAGAGGGCATTGGATCCCCAGGCCAAAGGTAACGTCCTAATGTAGACTTCCCTAAGTTCTTCAGGTCTAAAACCACTCTGCACTGGGCTGTTGGCCACAGCCTCACTGTTACTCCCACATCTTCTTTCGTTCCACTCCACACCCAACTGTGCCATTTCAGTCTGTCCCCATCTGCCCCCTTCTCGCCACCTCCCCTGCCACCCTCTGGCTTCGTGGGTTGCAGTGCCTTCGCCAGTGGTTTTCCCTGATCCTTTCCTCATTTGTGTTTTCACACAGTCCCAACTGCAGGGGCATGACAGTCAATACCCTCACTGCAGACTCTGACATCCTTCCTGGGGCCGAGTTACATCTATCTCAGTGCTTACAGCTGCCTGTGTTTCTCAGATGCAGACAGGCTCACACCCTTACTTCTCCCAGGTTAAAGGAGGGTCCGGGTCTGTTTCCACATGACCAACCTTTGGTGGACTGTGGGCCCTGGCCTGGACCCCAGCCCCATCCACACCCACCTCCTACCCACGGCCCCATGGCCTTTGTACCTGTGCAAACTTATTAAAGTTGATAAGGTTCTGGTTGGAAAGGACCTGATTGATGGAGATGGTCTTGACCCGCCTGTCACCTGTGAAAGAGACGGAGAGGCCTGGGGGCTAGCACAAGGCCCAGAGAGGCCTGGGGGGCTAGCACAAGGCCACGGGAGGGCCTCCTGATCTGGGGACCAGAGTTCAAGTTCACAGCTGCTGGTCTCTGGAGGAATCAGTGGCTCCGAGACTCTCCTGGGCGGGGGTGGCAGCACCTGTGGGGATTGGCCTGGCCAATGGGCACCTCCAGAGGAAGAAGAGGGCACAAGGAACTGCAGGGTTTTATTTGAGTTCCCTGGAGGTGGTAATACCTAATTGGGACTAACAGCTGCCTCAGGGCACCTGGTAGGGATTCCTCTCTCCCTTCAGTTTCTTGGGAAAGGGAGGTTGGGGGAGGGGAAGACTGGGTCTGTTGATGGCCTTGGCTCTCACCCCAGGGCCAGTGTTTATAGGTTCTCTAGGCAGTGAACCAGCAGGTACTAGGAGTCCATACCAACAGACTTCGGCTTGCTATTTAGGAGCAACTTCAGGCCTGGTCTTCCTGCCTGCCCAGTGGAGGCCATGGAAACAGGGCTGGCTGTGGGAGGGGGTGTAGGAGCTAATGGCTCCAGTTGTCCCAGCTGCCAGCTGGCCAAACCCTAACTATGTGGCCCTCAAGGAAACTGAGGCTCAGAGTGGTCAGGTGACTAACCCAAGGTCACACAGCAGTGGTCCTCAGCCTTCTGAACGCTGCAAACCCTTTATACAGTTACTCATGTTGTGACCCCTCCAACCATAAAATTATTTCGTTGGTACTTCATCAACAGTAATTTTGATACTGTTATGAATCATTACTGATGAATCATAATGCAAACACATGATAGGTGCCTCCCATGGGGGTCGAGACCCACAGGTTGAGAACTACTTCCATTCAGCAAAGGTTTTGGGGGGTTAACTGGGAGCTGGATGCTCGTAAAGGGCTTCTAGACCTTCCCTTAACTTGGAAAAAGTAAGGGTGTGAGCCCTGAGCCTCTGAGGGCTGGCGGGGCAGGAAAGGGCCCCTTTGACCTAAACATACAGCTGTAGGTCATGTCCCCACCTGGAGGCAGACAGCCTCTCACAGGCCAGTTCCTCGGCATCGGCTGCGAGGCCCCGGGGCCAGCACCTTCTGCCTCCAAGCCTCAACCGACAGCAGACCCTCCCCTCAGCTTCCCTCCTCCCAGGGGCCTGTCAGGATCATCAGGATAAGCCCGGGATACCCCAAACCCAGGGCCTGACACTCCTGCTCTTAATAAGCCACAGCAGCCTGGAGTGTCTGCGTGTGTGTGTGTGTGTGTGTGTGTGTGTGTGTGTGTGTGTGTGCGCGCGCTGCTCGTGGCTGACATTGGCATGCCACGCTACAGCCCTTCCTAGCCGGACAGGATGGACTATGCCGCACCACCTCCCCATTGCTCACTGTGAAAAGGTCCCCAGGGGTGACCAAAAGCCACTCCTCCCTGTCCATCCCTGGCACAGAATCTGGGCCTAAGGGTCTTTTAAGATGGAATATAGGTTCAAAGAAACCTCACTAGGGTCCCTCTGGAGCAATGGCTTAGGGAACACAGCTGCTGGTTTATTTTCTGGCCCCTGTGCTGTGCTGGGGGCAGGGGACTTGGGCGCAGATTGGAGCCAGGGCGTCCTCCGCCTCCCATGTGGCCAAGAGAATCTAGGACTTTAGTGCCAAAAAGGACTTTATTTTATTTAGGTTTTGGTTTAGCGAGCCAGGCTCTCACTGTGTAGCACAGGCTAGCCGCACACCTGCATTTCTCCTGACTATCCTGAGGACTGGGGTTTCAGGCCTGCACATGCCCAGCTGTAGTCCAGCCCACCCTGCCCATCAAACTGCTCCACTGAACAGTGAAACACAGGCTTTTCATTCAAACAAAACAAAACAAACAACAACAGAACAAAAACCAAAAAACAACCTCCCACCAAGTTGCCCTTCAGCTGCCCCTGAAGGGCAAGGGCAGTAGATGCCAGGCTGTGGGCGCCTCCCCAAGCCCGGTCTCTATCGCAGGTGAGGACAGCAACTACATTCTGTGATGGCCGGGGATAGAAGACATGGCAGCTGGGGCTTCAGAGAGCAAGGTAGAGGATGGCAGAGAGCCCGTTCTAGGGGGACAGAAGGCCGGCGATGGAGGTTCATAGATCTGTTAGATTCCACTTAACAACTCATCCACACTCCAAACCAGCCACCAAAGAACACTGACCCTGGACTCCGGGACCTTCTGAGCAGAGGCCTGATGGGACATCCCTGGCCACACCCTTGCTCTCACCTTCTCCACACCCCTTGCCCTGCAGCTGCCACAGCCCCGCCCCCACCATAGCGGGTGGTCACCGGTGACACAGGGTGTCACATCAGGAGAAAGCAGTCCTGAATTTTGGGGGTACCATCTAGTTTTAGAATGCTCATTCCTTTTGGAAGTCATGGTGTGCTCACTTCAGGAAAGAGATAATACATTGTTTTTTTTTGGGGGGGTGACTTGACACTTTTACTCACCAATGACCCCCTCGAAAAGAAGGGCCCTGCCATGGCCCCATTTCTGTTTTTCCTGGAACAGCCTGAAGCAGGCGGCGGGGCTGGCCAGGAGGAGCCGGAAGCCCTGTGTGTGGAGAGCAGGCACAGCTGAGCTCACGGCCTTGTGTGCCCACTGGCCCCAAACTCTCAAGGCTGCCCAGGCAGGCCCACAGGTCCTTACCTTCCCGTCTGGAGCAGGGACAAAGCTCAGAAACTCATCCACGTGGCCCACAGCCAGCCAGTCCACAAAGAGCTCCACCAGGGGCTGCACCTTCTGGGCATGGAGGAAGTTTCGCACCACCTGGGTGACCCTGCGGCCTCTCGACCTGGGCAGGGGTTAGGAAAAGACACCAAACTGAACACGCGCTCCAGAAGAAATGGAATGTCCGGAGGGCAGCTATCCGCAGCACCTGCCGCCTGAACGCCAGGCGGACCTCCCCCAGGCCCACCACCACCATCACCACCCAGAACCTCTCACCCGGGCAGGTTGCCCCCAATGAGGATCCTCCCCAGGGGGTACTCCTTCCCATTGGCCACCACCGGCGGGCTGACCTCCAGGTTGCCGAAAGAGTCCAGGCCACTCACAGAACTGTCTCGAGGTTCCCGAGTCACGTAGCCGAAATCTGGACCCTGGTGGGGGAAACTGAGTCAGGCAGGGGCAGAGTAACAGGAAGAGCATGAACTCATGTAATGGGCTCCGAGCTCTTAAAAGATGGGATGGGAGCAGCCTCCCATTCTTCAGATGAGAATACTGGGTCAGACATGGGATCTGATTTTTTTTTTTTTAATTTATTTGTTTATTATTTATATAGCATTCTGCCTGCACGCCAGAAGAGGGCACCAGATCTCATTATCTCATTATCATTAAAGATGATTGTGAGCCACCATGTGGTTGCTGGGAATTGAACTCAGGACTTTTGGAAGAACAGTCAGTGTGCTTAACCTCTGAGCGAATCTCCAGCCCATGGACCTGGTTTTTATGTCACATGTGCAAAGGACCAAAGTTGGGAAGCAGTCAGTCCCCAGGGCCGTGGTGTACCTGTCAGGCCGGTGTCATTTTGCCTGTCACAAGCTCTACTCCCCCCCCCCCCCCCGCCCCCATTAGACATTCAACAGGCTCCTTGAACTCCACGGGCCCTCCTGTCAAGTCCAGCCCAAGGGTACCAGAGACTGGTGAGGGACCTCATAGTCTCTCTGAAGGAATTCAGACATCACTGAGGGCCAACTGATGCCATGTGATCCAGTGACCCAGTGAGGAACCCATCCCTTATGGAGCTTAAAGGGGTCTCCCCTCTGTGCTCAGGGGTCCTCTCCGTTCACCCTCAGTCTGTTTATCCTAAGAGCCAGCACACGCTCACAGAACTCCAGGCTCCCTCCTCGGCAGGCAGCCATCACCGTGACAATGCCAGGCTTCCTTCATAAATGCCCGTGAAGCTATTTCTGCAGTTGAGGAAATAGAGGCCCTGAGAGGGACGTTAAGTCTGACAGTATCACACAGCCTGGGAGTGACAGCCAGATGCTCTGATATCAGGGCCCTCAGGTTCTGCCAGCTGTGGACCCGCCTCCCCCACTCGCCAGCAAATAAAAACACACAGTACTCTGTCTCATTGGAGGCACAGATAAATGGACATATCAACATAAGTCTATCCCATATAAAGTGTGGGATAGGCTTACGCCGTAAGACCCTCCTCACCTCTTCACAAACGCCACTGGCCCTCTCTCCGACAGTCACTGGCCAGCCTGCTCTGGCCCACAGAACAAGCTTCCGAGGGCTATTCCCTGTTCACCTCGGTGTCCCCTGGGGATGTGTTCATCCCCAGGGACGCCATGCCCCCCACTTACCAGAATCCTTTTGTAAGGGAAGCCCTGCAGCTCCCCATTCCTTGGGGAATCAAAGACCACCGGCAATGTCTTGTGCGGTGCCTGAATGTAGCCCAGCTCCATCTCATCCTGCCAATGGGGAGAGAGAGACCATAGCTGTGGACGGCCAGTAGCGCCCCCTAGTGCTGGGCACTGAGGCTCTCAGGGAGGCCGGCTCCTAGGGGTGGAGCATTCTCGGGCCTTGGAGGTGGGGAGCCATCGAAGAGAATGGGCTGGGGCTTGGTTGTCTATGAGACTACGGGAGTCACGTGGGAACACAGGAGACTACAGACTCTGGGGTGTGCCTGTGCTGGGACAGGACAGGGTGGGTACAGAGATAGATGCAGAGTGGCCCGGGTTCAACACACAGGGCCACCCACTGAGCATGCGTCCGCTCCCATGGCCTCCAGGCTAGTCATGAAGTTAGCATGATGGACCTCAGAGACAGGGATGTCTCCTCCTCAGAATGCACAAGGAAACAACAGCCCAGAATGCATGATGGCACAGCGAGACAGCAGCCTGCTGTGTGCCAGGCCCTGGGCTCTTTATGAACACCAACTCCTCTAATCCCACCTACCCCTGGGCCTTCGAACATGCAGGACTCCCCTCCCCCCTCACCGGGTGACTGGCAGTTCTGAGTTCCCGCACTGCCTTTGTCAGCACAGTGGGCACTCATTGCATGAGCTCATCAGCAAACACCCAGGGGTGCTTACAAGAGGCCGGAGAAGATGACGCTGTGCAGGGCCTGGGGGTGGGGTGGAAAGCGCCTGGGAAGCAGCAGGGAAGAGTCCCCACATTCCCAGGGTCAGCGAGTCCAGCTCACACGAGGCCCCTTCCCTAGCCTCTCCATCCTCCCGCCTTTTCCTTTGAGGATCCTCCCCTAGGGCTTTCCACTAGAAGTCCCACACCCTGGAACGACCTCCTCCCCCCCCCCCCCCATCCATTTCCTTCTCAGGACAGTAAGGCCTCCTCCAGCCCCCTCTGGCACGCTGCTAATCCTTTACATGCCGGCCTCCAGGGGTCCTGGAGCAGTTACTCAGCACAGCGGGACTTCCCAGCCCCTTGCCATCGACACACTGGAGCAGACTGTACCCTGTGGGGTTTACCAAAGTTTTGGTGACACTATGGGACTGTAGGTGCTAATGGCCAGTCCTTCCCCCTCAACCACAACATCTCCAGATGCTGCCTAACATCCCCTTTTAGCTCGGCTGCTAAGTGCATGGCCTCTGCCACCTCACGCAGGCAGCAGCCCGGCTGCCTGAGGGATTTTGGGATGAGAACTCTGTCTGGAGTCAGGGAGCCCCGGTATCTCCTTGCAGGATGGTGTTGCTGGGTTACCTGGATCCAGCGGTCGTTTCTGTTCTCTGCCTGAGGACAGATGGTAAGCCTGCAGCCCGCCTTCCTGGCCAGCTCCTCCACAGCTTCCACAAAGCGCGTGTTATTCCTCACCCTGCGAGCGGTCGGGGAGGAGGGGGCACTCAGAGCCAGGACCCAGGAACAGCGACAACTCCAGGGCGAGGACGCCACCCACACTCACCGGCACACGTACACCTCCAGGGGCGGCAGGGTGCTGGGCGTCATGATCCAGGGCGCCACTCGGAACACCACCGTGTCAGTGAAGATCGGGGTCTCGGAGAAGTCCTTCGCAGGAGGGCCAAGACAAAGAGAGCGGGACTCGAGGGTCCAGTGGCTGGACAGGACTTCGGGTACTCTGAAGCCCCTCCCCTAGGGTCCTCAAGAACCACCCTGGTTTGGGCTGTGGCTGAAGCTCATCTGGTAGAGTGCTTGCCTAGCATTCGAAAAGTCATGGGTTCTGTCCCCACCACTGCATAGAGAGGGCATGGAGGTATATGCCAATAATCCCTTGGCTTTTCTAAAGGATGGAGATGACCCGTAGGGTCATGAGAGAGCGTGAGGCCCTTAATTCCAACAGTGCCCAAATCTTCCTGGAACAGAACATTCTCCTCACCCTCTGCCTGGCCACCCTTACCTCATTGGAGTCATCCAGCAGGGTGACATGGAAAGAGATGAGTCCCGAGAAGCCAGCGTCAGGGAAGGAGAGGCCCTCCACGAAGAAGCGCTCCTCATAGCCGCTCAGGCGGGGTACCTCGTATGACATCCTGTCCGGGCCCAGAGCACACCTATAGGCCTCACAGGAATCCTCCGGACCTACGGGAAGAGGAAACGGCCCTGACGCTTGGGCTGCTCAGGAGATGTGAACATCTCGGGAGAGCTGAGCCCTTTCACCCAGCCGCAAGGCAAACAGCCCTTCATCTCCTACCGCCAGCAAGGAGGAAAAGGGCACAGTGGGGAAGGGCACTCTTTTCTAAGAGACGAGGTTCACCCTAATGCATCATGTACCTCCAGCCATCTTCCCTATGGGAATATGCAGACAGAAGCTGGAGAAACAGCTCAGTGGCTAAGAGGGCTTGCTGCTCACAGGCCCTGCGCCCATGCTGGAAGGCTCCAACCACCTGTAACTCCAGCTCCAGCGGACCTGATCCCCTCTCCTGGCCTCCATGAACACCTGCGCCTGTATACAAGGATGTCCACACGCACCACTATTTAGCTACTTCCTCCTCCTGACGCTGACTCCTAAGATCCAGCTATGGAAGTACTGAAGTCCAGCAATCAAAGGCCTCCTTTGGCTCACCTAATTAACATGCCCAATCAAAATTAAACATGTCACCAGGCCTGGCGGTGAGCCTTTAATACCAGCACTTGGTAGGCAGAAGCAGGCGGATCTCTGAGTTTGAGGATAGCCTGGTCTACAAAGTAAGTTATAGGACAGCCAGAGCTACACAGAGAAACCTTGTCTGTGTGTGTGGTGGTGGGGGGAATAAAGAAAGAAAGAAAGAAAGAAGGAAGGAAGGAAGGAAGGAAGGAAGGAAGGAAGGAAGGAAGGAAGGAAGCCCACTTCCGGGGTGGGAGTGCAGAAACCCATTCTACCAGCTACAGGGATGATGGCACAGTCGAAAAAGTGCTTGATGTACAAGCTCGAGGACCCACCCAACTTCTGTGCCCAGAGCCCATGCTTAAAAAGTTGGCGAGGGACTCTGTCTCAAACAGAACAAAACAAGAACAAAAAGACAGTGCCTGAGGAGTGACAGCTGAGGCTTCAAACTATATGCACATATACAATAAGGGAAGGAAGGAAGGAGGAGGGAGAGGGAGGGAGGGAGGGAGGGAGGAAGGGAGGGAGGAAGAAAGAAAGGGAGAGAGAGAGAGAGAGAGACCAACCAGTCCCCACCTCTGACTGCATTGATGCCCAGGGCATCAGCCGAACCCGGCTGAGAGGCACATCTGCCCATGGACCCTGGTAAGTGCTCGGCACACACTTACCACAGACATGGAAAACCCGTGCCCGCTCCGCATCACAGCTCGACGTGTGCAGGATAAGTTTGTGGTCGTCAAAGAGGGCTTCAGGGCCCTGGGTCCGAAGGACCATGAGGGACATATCTTCCAGATCTGTGAAGCCAGACAGAGGATGCTGACTGACAGCTGCTCCACAAGGGTGTCAGGGGCCGGGACTCCCAGCCTCAGCTCACGGAGAGGCTAGAGCCCAGTGGTGTGGACGAGAGAGGCGTGTGCACACGGACACTGCCCTGCTTCCTGTCCTCTATGCGGCCCACGCATCCTCATCCCGGAGCAGAGTTGAAGGCCACTTGGGCACCTCACTGAGCAAGCCACACAGGTCAGAGATCCAGTGGGAAGGGGTCGGCAGCCCACAGACTGGATGTGCAATTCGGGGGACCCTCCTGACCTGTGAGCCTCAGCACCCTCCTCTCTGGACTGGGGTAACAACACGTACCCCCTTGCATGACTAAAGATCTTGGGAGGGGAAGGCTTTGCACACAGTAGGTACTCAAACAATGCTAGCAGCCCCTCCTCTCCTGTAGGAAGAGAATGCTGGGGGGAGCGCCACAAGCGCTGGGGATGCCAGGAGAGGCAGCTACCAGCCTGGGCTGCACTCTGAGGAGTCTCACAGTGAATTCTGCCCCTCCCCTGCCCGCCTTCAGAGCCCCACTTTGGGGTGGGGGCCCCTGTGGGGTAACTGAGGAGGGACCCTGGGTGCCTGGAGATGCGCCGCCCCAGCATGCTCACCTTGCAGGCAGTGCACATGTTCATCACAGTTATCTTGGGCGTTAGAGCTCACGTCGTCCCGGTCACAGTTCACCAGCAGGATAGCTCCATACCCGTCAGGGCCCCACACCCACTGCCTCTGTCGGTGAGAAAACACAGCTGGCAACAGGCTCCGGCCAGGCTCCCACTCAGTACTCGCTGGCCAGCCTCCTGAGCCGTTACACTGTCCTGTGAGGGGTCCACCCTTCGCTGAAGCAGCCCTGCTCAAGAAGCATCAGCGGCACCAAGACCGCACGAAAGACCTTTAATCGTGTCTTGTACAGCAGGCTGCTCTTTCCACCCAGATCTCGGTCCTCACATTTATTACCTCTGAGACGAATCTGCTTGCTACCTGTATTCATCAGTAAAGTTTTATTGGGACACAGTCTCATGATTAGTTTATGCACTAAGTGGCTGCTTCAAAGAAGGGTAGGTCACAAGGTCTAAGACATTTACAATGTGGCATTTATTTATTTATTTATTTATTTATTTATTTAGGTTTTTTGAGACAGGGTTTCTCTGTGTAGCCCTGGCTGTCCTAGAACTCGCTCTGTAAACCAGGCTGGCCTGGAACTCAGAGATCCACCGGCCTCTGCCTCCCGAGTTCTGGGATTAAAGGCATTCGCCACCAACGCCCAGCAAGACTTTTATTTTATTTTACTTTACCACCTGCCACCTCTGTCTGAGGCGCAGTAGAAAGCCCACCTTATCCACGAAGCTCCTGTCCTGTCGGTCCTCACAATTCACGTCACAGTCCAGGGTGATGTCTGTTGGGGAGGCGGCAGGAGGTGAGTCTCCATGATAGACCATGCATTCACCTCAGCCATCTGGGCCAGGCAGGTGGGTGCCATCCCCAGGAGACACCCAGAGGTTGGGCCCTGGAGTTTCCCATCCTTGGGCAAGGGGGAAAGGCTCAGGGGGAGGGTAAGACGAAGAATGGATCAAAGGCTTGCCCCTTCAGGAAGCTCCTCTTGATGGTACCTGTTCTGAAGCCCCCGAGCCCTTGCTGTGTGAGACACAGTGGCACCACCCCCAGGTGGTTGAGGACTGTATCAGTGAGCTTGGATATGGGTGTCAGAAGGACACGGGTGTGAGGGTGGGCTCAGCCACCTCGCTGCCCAGCCTGGGAAAGCCTGCCTCGGCATCTGCTCTCCTGCCCCTGCCTTTCCCGCTGGAATCCCTTAACAAACGCCAACAGTGCAGTGCTTAGAGTGCCTACGGGGTCAGAGCCAGCCTCTAAAATGGGCTTAGTTCTTAAAGGGGGTGGGGAGAGCGCTCAGGTGATTTTCTTGAATCTCCCCAACACACCACTCAGAAGAACAGGTGCCAAGGGATTTGAGACACCTGACAGACTACACACAGGCTCTGCCTCATGGGCTCAGTCAGGAGCCATAGAGAAGGTAGAGGGAACAGTCAGCGCCAGGGTCACTGGGCGGGGTGGCTCGGATCCCGGACTCAGCGATTGCTGCGTCAAGCGCTTCCTTGTAATTATTCATTTACCATGCACGGTTGGGCATGTGTGGCAATTTTTGCTTTTATTTTTAAGACAGAGTCTCGCTATGTAGCCCAGGCTGGCCTGGAACTCACAGAGATCCTCCTGCCTCTGCCTCCCAGGGGTGGGGTTAAAGGCGTGTGTCACCACACCTGGCTTCCAACTTAGCTTTCCTGGAGCTCAAAGATTCAGCTAGCCTGGTTAGCCAGCAAGACTCCAGGGTCCTCCCGATTCCCCTCCTAGTGCTGGCATTACAAATGTAGGCCACCCTGCACGGCTCTTACCTGGGAGCTGGAGTTTGAACTCAGATCCTCTCACTTGTTCAGCAACCACCTTACCCTCTGAGCCATCTCCCCGGGCCTTTCATCCCACATATTTGCCTGTGTGTGTTTGTGTGTGTGTGTGTGTGTGTGTGTTTATGTGTGTCTCTGTGAGTGAATGTGTGTGTGTGTTCGTGTTTGTGGGCAAAGGCCAGGATGTTACTCTACTGCAGATCTGCATGCCCTGCTCCTAACTGCTTTCATCCCCAGCCCTGGCAGGACTCCCTGGCCACACCCTCAGCCCGGCCCAGCTTACCCACACAGGTGAGGTAGAGCACCGCATAGGCCAGGGGCAAATGCTCGTGGCTGGAGTGGTAGGCTATTTGCACCTGCAGAGAGACATGCCCATGTCACATACGGACAGGCCCCTGGTGGGCAGGAACAGGACCCTCACAGCCTGTGTCAGTTCCCCTTTAAGCTCCCCAGGGTCACGGTTTCCCATACCTTGGTGCATCTGTAAAGCTGGCACCATTAGTCCTGTACCCATGTGGACCCGGGTTCTAGTCCTACCGACAACGACCTGGACCTGAGCCCAGCATCTCTTAGCCAATGCCCTGTGCCTGTCTGAGCTGGGGGCTCATCACAGCTGGCTCAGGCTCCGTTCCCAGCCACCATTAAGGGTGAGGACAGCAGTGGTGGCATCGAGAAGGCGGTGCAGGCAGTTTAATCACTGACCCTTTGATCTGTTCCTCTCCCTGGGACATGCCCTGCAGATACCCGTGCCAAGCCGCCCAGGCTCTGACATGCCCCTTCATCTGGGTCACAGTGTCAGGGCCCTGTGGAGGCCACCTAACCCTCAGTATGGGAGCTCCAAAGTTCTGCACCAATATTTCAAAGGTGGGGAGGGGAGGGGAGGAGTGCCTACAGCCTTCCTCAGTCCTACGGGAGCCCAAGAGCTCAGGATGGGAGACCTAATTTTCAGAGCAGCACGAAGGGCCTCTGAAGGCTGGCAGGTCCCGTTGCCCAGCCCCAGGGACTCTGTGATTCTCACTGACTCAGCTCCTCACCAGGACTTGTGACTTCAGATAAGCTATACCTTCTCTCATCCTCAGTTTCTTCCTCTGAAAAATGGGCTCATTGAGCTCAGGGCAGACACCAGATTCAGAGGGCCACAAAGGTCCGACACAGCAGAACTACAATAACTCCTCCTTTCATAGGGGCTGGTTAAACAGAAGACGCCCAGGGTCCATCCCCCCTTCCCCGGAAAGCAGGGCAGGAGCAGCCCCATCCTTCAGACTGACATTCAGAGGTCTGAGGATGTACAGCCAGGACAGGGATTCACATCCAGCACTGTGGCCCTCAGGCCGAGTGCCCCCCGCCCCCCGAGCTGTGACACTCTAGGGAAGGATGAGAAGAGGGCCAGGGGTGATGAGCTCACGTGACTGTCGTTGAGGTCGTTGCTAGGGGAGTTCATGACCACGATGATTTCCAGCCCTTCGTTGAAGCACCACCGCTGGGTGTCAGCTCGCTCTCGGCTCCTCTCCATGCTGGCAGACACGTAGATGTCCACGCCAGGCGTCCCGTACACCTCAAACATGTCTGTGCCCTCAGGAACCGACCTGAGAGGACAGGGGAGTGTGGGCCATGTGAGGGGGCTCACATGAGCTCGAGACCTATGCCCTCCTCCAGGAAGCCTTCCCCAGCTACCCTGGCCGCTCATCCCGAGCTATGGGAAGCAGAGCCCGGGGACCACGCAGACCCGTGTGCACTCTTGCGTCTAAGTGCTGAGATTCCAATATCCCATCACCATCCAGCTCATTTGGGGCTGGTAATCATACACACATACACACACATACACCCACACACCCACACACACACACGTGTGTACGCATGTGAATCAAAGGATGGAGGAGTCAGATATGGAATCAGAAAGACAGACATGGGCTGGGCATACTGGCACATGCTTACAATACCAGCACTTGGAAGGCAGAGACAGATGGATCTATCGTGAGTTCAAGGCCAGCCTGATCTACATAGAGAGTTCCCAGGACAGCCAGAGCTACATAGTAAGACAAAACAACAAAAGAAGGAAGGAAGGAAGGAAGGAAGGAAGGAAGGAAGGAAGGAAGGAAGGAAGGAAGGAAGGAAGGAAGCCAGAAAGACAGACGTGGGAGCCTGAGCCAGGGAGGAAGTGCTCTCTCTTGGACTCCAGGGAGCATCTCAGCCCCACTTTCAGAGGCATCTGGCTTCCAGTAACCCAGGAAGCTGGTCAGATTCCCACAGCAGACCCAGCGCCATGCTTTCCCTCAGTCCCGAGTCCACCACAGAGGGCCAACGTGCCTTGACAGTTTCCTGATGAGCAGCTCTTTGGCTCTGAGGCCCCAGTCACTCCCTGGACCCTCCCTAGGCCACGCTGGGAGTTGCTGGGAGTCCCTCGGGAAGCTGGAGACCAATTGGCCAGGAGGAACAGGTGGCATGTACACTACAGCCTTGGGAGAGTCAAGGGCTCAGTGACGCCGGGGCCCAGTCAGCAGTCAGGTGAACTTGGAGCTGGGTCCCCTTTCAGCCAGGTGACCTTGACTAAATCACCGAGAGTGTGGGATAATGACACCCACTTGGCCAGCCTCTTGGGAAACCAGGAGGCTCAAGTGTATTAATAGCCGAGAGAAAGCTTGGAACACTCCTGCCCGGGATAAGGAAGGTGCTATTAAAATGAATTATGGTGCAGGCTGCAGGTGGATGGAGACAGCTCTGACGGCGAGCTGGGGCGGCTGAGATGCATCTGAGGAAAAGGGGTTTCCCACCGGAGACTTAGGAGCTCAACCTTGGTGACTTGTTTCCATTTTATCCTAATGAAGCGGGGGAACCAGTGATGGTTCTTGAGTGGGAAGGGGGGTGGTGCAGCAAGGTGATTAAACTCGTGTTTGACGCACTCAGGAAGCCCGGGTTCAAATCCTGGCCTTGTCCTCAGTCCTGGAGGGTAGGACACAGCCTCCTCAGGGCTGCACTCCAGCTAGAGTGACAGGAGATGGAAGGAGAGGGTGTGGGTGTGAGGCACTCCCAATGAGTGAAGGTCACAACCTTATTTTCCTGCCGGGTAAACTGAGGCAGCCAGAAGGCACCCAGACCCCCTATCCATGATGCCCCAGCATAAAAACTGTGTATAGACTGGAGAGATGGCTCAGAGGTTAGGAGTACTGGCTGCTCTTCCAATTCCCAGCAACCGAATGGTGACTCACAACCATCTCTAATGAGATCTGGTGCCCTCTTCTGCTTTGCAGGCTTACATGCAGACAGAACATGGTATACGTAATCAATAAATAAGTCTTTAGAAAGCTGTGTGTAGGGATGGCCAAGGTGTCTACTTGGAGGAAGAACCTGGGTCAGAAGCAGCAGATTCCCGTTTCCTGGAAGTTAGGCAACACTCTTCCTTAGTGAGGCCGCCACTGATCACCTGAGTTTGATTCCCAGGACAACATGGTAGAAAGAGAGACCCGACTCTTGACCCTTGTCCTTTGACCTCTATATGCACAAATAAATAATTAATGAAACTTTTTTTTTTTTTTAAGTGGGCAGCCATTGAAAATGGGGACAGCTCATTTATCTTACAGGTGTCTAGTGCCCGGAACCTGTGGACCAAACTCCCAGTGCCGGTGGCACTGCAGGGACCTGGCCATCAGTCAAGGCTTTCTGACGGCTACTGATGCCTGAGCCTCACGGCAAAGGGGCTGCTTAGAAATGCTGGTCCTGAGTCCCCACTGGGAGTACAAGGATGACTTGGGGGTGAGACTACCCCATCCCGGGTCCCATCAGCCCACTCTTCCCCTGCCCACTGTGGAAAGGACACTGGTGATCTTATTAAATGAAGCTGCCCCAGTATGAGGGCCACACTATCGTCTCACTTTGGGGGAAACTGAGGCTCAGGAGGCCCGAGGTCAAGCAGGTGCTAATCGGCAACTCCGGGTCTTGCAGCTGAGCTCTTTCCTTAGCCCCATGCAAAACTGACCTGATGCCTCTCTTCTCTGGCTGCAGTTCTGGCCTCCAGAACAAAACTGATGAGAGGTTCCAATAGTTAAAACAGAAAAACAAAACAAACAAACAAACAAAAACACAGACAAAGCCCCCTCAGCGCTGGCCTGTGGGGACAGAGCCCACAGTCTAAACAGCACAGGCTCTGAGAGGTAGTTTCAAGGAGAACCCTAGATCTCCCTTCCTTGTCAGCTTTGCTCACACAACTAGGCCTAGGAAACCCTGGGCCCACTGGACCCCACATCTACCGACTCTGCTCTGGCCCGGGAAACTGGTGACCACCCTGAAACTTCTCCAAAGACTGAGTGGCTCCGAGACCCCCTACCCAAGTCTATGCACAGGGTGGTCAGAGGAGCTGGCCCTGTTGTCCAGGAGGCTCTGAGGCCTAAGAGCAAGCAGTTTCTATGCTAACCCATTAAGTTACCTTCCAGGAAACTGAGGCCCAGGGAGGAGAAGCCAGTGTCTCAGGATGGCCCAGCCCTGGAGACACTAGGAACCAAACTCAAGGCTCTTTCCTGGCTCCATCAGGCATGTCATGGGTGCCTTGAGTTGTCTGCCCTCCCAGCTGGGGAAGCGGTGTCCAAGGGCCGCAGCGAATGAGCTGGGCCAGGTTTTTTGTCTGTCTGTTTTTGAGGGAGACCCAAGCCGCAGTGAGGGAGATACTGGTGATGAGTCCCACAACCTCAAACATAAGCGTGTGCTTCACCACTGCAAGGCACCCCAGCCACACCCCACCTGAGATTCAGAGCTAGCCTGGTCAATACTTTTGTGTGTGTGTGGCGTGGCGGGGGGGGGGGGGCAGGGTCTAATTTTTTTTGATAGGGTCTCATGTAGCCCAGGCTGGCCTTGAAATTTTTAATGTATCTAAGGATGACCTTGAACTCCTGATTCTCCAGCCTCTACCTCATTTGCCAGCATATCTGGTTTTTACGGTCCTAGGAATCAAACCCACGGCCTTCACCAGACCGTGTAAAGGAAGCCCTCTATCAACTGAGCCCCAGAGGTATACTCCCACAAGATTCAGAGGTGCCACATCAGTGGAGACAGTTCAGAGCGGGGTGGGTGTGACAGCTCACTACCAGGTGTGGTCGAGGGACAGTCACCTGCTCCTTGAGGAAAGCTTCCTCGGGGAAGCTATGGCAGCTTCCAGTTGATGAAGACCTCCCTACTGCACCTCAGTCATGGCCTCCCACCTTCCGGCTTTTCCAAGGGCTGTTCTGGGTCTCCCTCCTCAAGGCCAAGGCACCCGGGCTGATTTGAGAGAGCTAAGAAGCATGCAAACACCCCGTGACCTCTGCCCCACTGCAGCCATGCAGACCAGACCCGACTCTTCCGGCCTTTCCCATATATACGTCTGAATACACATGGGCCCCTGGGGTTCCACCAGCCCCACAGGACCTTTGGAATCGGGTCCCCATCACCGGACATCATGGGCTGTTTAGGTCTCAAGGCCTGGTTTCTGTCTTAGCTCATTTCTGAACCTGGGTAAGTCCTTGCCCCCACCAGGCCTAAGTTTCCTTATTCAGAATAAGGGGTGGGTGAGCCCCAGAGGGCACCGCCGGACCAGCCTGGTTCCCAAGTTCCAAGAAGCAAACTTTCTTTCTCTGCCTCCAAGGCTGAAGTCTCAGCCCCGAGAATGGTCCGTGTGGAGCTGGCAGAAGCTCCTGTGTCTCACAGATAGACTGGACCTGCCTTCAATCCCCTGAGCATCACTGCGCACATGAAAAATGAAGATGAAGAAGTACTTCCAGGTGCCAAGGAGCACAGACGAGGCCTGGCATCTCGCCTTCCTTCCCTGGCTGCTCAGAAGCTGCTCCTGGATGCCTCTCACCACGGCCAGTCAGGCTCTGCTGAGGGTTCTCGCTCCTGCCTCCTCCTTCAAGGCTCCTCTTCCCGGAAGCCTACTCTGATCGCTCGGCTCATGCTGACTCCTCTTTTATCATTTAGTCCTCCATCTCCTGGTGGGGCTCAGGGGCTGTGTCCTAGCCAGCTGGTGCATGGAAGGTTTGGGAACACTTGAGACTCTGCGCAGGCTAGGTGCAGACCCGTAAAATGATGGTGATGGTAATGGTAATGATGGTGGTGATGGATACCACAACAGAATGCTTTGCATACTGTTTATATTGGTTTATATTCTACGAACCATCTACGCCCTCCTCCTAGGTGTCTCTGAAGGAAGGACCAAACAGTTCCATGTCCCCCTACCTCTCTAAGGTGCTAAGGGCTGTGTGACCTTTGACACCTTGGCTGACCTCTCTGGGTCGTGCTTTCCTCATCTATGAAATGGTGAGGATGCCTACACCCTTCGGCTGTAGGAAGCTCGCTTATCTGGGTAAAGAAGTGAGGATGGTGCAGGCCACTGACAGCCTGGTGCACCATCATATCACTGGCCCACCACCTCGCACAGCTAGAAGCGGAGAGTCTATAGGGCAAGCGTTTGCCAAGATGAGCCAGCCAGAACCAGGGCTGAGCCCCTGGTTTGTAGGCCAGGGCCGGGCTCCAGGAAGAGCCCTCCAAGATGTCCAGTCTCGCTCTCCCTTTCTAAGACGTAAGTCATTTCTGCAGCCCGCACTGGACAGCCAGCCCCCTGGCCTACACTAGAACTCCTCCCCCAGGTAGCAACCATCTTCCTTCCACTTCTGAGAGTCCCCAGGGCTGGGCATACACTAACACTCAAAAAGCCCATGACAAGTGCATGAATAAATGACTGAGACACTCCATTTCCCAGGGCGAGTGGCCATCGGGGTGTGTGGACATCCTTCTAGAAGACACTGGAGCCCTATCACCATCCACGGCTGCCCCATCCCCAATCTTCTGGGTAAATACCCACCATGGCCCTAGTCAACCAAGTCAGCCCCAAACAGCTGCTTGCCTCTCACCAGCCCATCCTCCATCCTCAAAGGCACCACCTCTGAGAGGAAGAGGAGGAAGAAGAAAAGAAGGGGGAGAGGAGGAGGAGGGGGAGGAGGAGGAGCTATCCCCAGCTCCCTGGACGGGTCAAACCAGAGCCATATCTACCCAATGCGCACAAAGGCACCTGGGCAGTGAGTCACTCTCGTGGGCATGCAGTCCCGGAGCGGGCCATGGCGCCAGGCAGTGTCCACCCCCTCCTGTCCTACCTGCTTCTTTGGAAGCCACAAACTGCCCCCTGCACAGCCCACAGCCCACCTACCCTCAGCCAGGCACCAGCTCCTGGTATGCAGCTCATCCCAGACTTGCTGGTTTCCCATGACGGGCAGCTCACTTCCTGTCCTCCACACCTCAGGCCTCAAACCTCTATGCTTCCAGCCAAGTTCACTCCACTTTTTAAATGCTTACTTCTGGAAGCTTGTAGTCAAAGGGTTTGAAACTTTGGCCCCTCAGGCACATCTGACAATATCCTGAGATGATTTCCTTTCGGCTGACCCAGGAGGGGTAGGGGCATTATTGGCCAAGGACAACTCAGTCCCACGGGAACTTCTGGTGTCCTGGTGCTGAAGCCACATCCAAGAATCAGGCAGGAGGGTTTGAGGGGTGGCACCCTGACCCCAACATCCTTGGACTCTGTCCTCTTCTCAGCCTCAGTGCTGGGACTCAAAAGCCTAAGGAACCAGCCTCATTCCTACATCCCCTCCATCCAAACCACCCTGTGCCATAGAGGCTCAGCCTGGCATAAAGCAGGCACAGTGCAGAGGTGGTGAGCAGCTGGTGCAGATGGAACGGAAGCCCTGGGGTCCAGTGGTTGAGCAGCTGGACATGGCGTTCCGGGGAAGTCTGCAGTGGGCTCAGAGTCCAGCTTTGCCTCCTGGTGACTGTATGCCTGGGCTGATGGCTCACCCTCTCTGTGCCTCCTTTGCACTTTGTGACAAACATCGTGTGAACCTGGTTGATACAGCAAAGGAGCCACTCTTGGGCACTTGGACCCAAGGGACACACTTGGAACACTGGCGAATTCCAAGGTTAAGACCTCAGACTAAGCACCCAGACCCAACCCGTCCCCTGAGGAACAGCCACACAGCTCCTAGGGGGTGAAGGCCCAGGGGCTCGGCATGAAGAACCCCAGACCCTCCAGGGCCAACTCTTACCCATAAATGTCCACGATGGTCTCAACGCCCACCACACACACAGCGCTGGTGGGGTGTTCCAGGGACACACGTACAATCCTCTGCAGGGACATACCGGCCTAGGATGGGGGCTCTGGCCACCAAACCCAGCACTAGCCAGAGGTCCTCCTGAAGGTGGTTTAAAAGTCCCCAGCCCCACCCATCCAGCCCAAGGCGCAAGCCCATTGGCTCCAGCACTAGAAGCCCAGCCTCTTCTCAGAGGCCGAAGAGCCAATCCCCTCTTCAGGATTGGCTGGAAGGGCTCTGATATTTGCATAGGGAACCCGTGCCTCCCACCCCAGGGCACCCAGGGAGTTAATTTCTAGCTGGAAAGAAAGCGAGTCCCTACAGGCGCTTGGCCAGCACATCAGGGATGGATGGGGTGGGGTGGGGTGGGGGTGGGGGTGGGGGGCTGGAGATGGGCCGTGGGGAGGAACGCAGGGCTTTGTCCAGGCCCTTCTCTGCTCTCTGGCCTCACCTCTTTCCATACTGCTGGAAGGGCTGCTGAGAATGCAGGTTCCCAGGAGTTCCAACCTGGTGCAGGCAACTGGATTCTTCATGCAAGCCTATGAGAGACACTGGTCTTGCTCCTTTTCCTCCTCCACTTCTCCCCACCTACCTGCCTCTCTTTTCTTTTCCTTCCTTCCTTCCTTCCTTCCTTCCTTCCTTCCTTCC